CTATTTATGCTAGTCCGGAATCACTATTCCCTGTAGCTATATCATTGGACCGGCAAACGCCCTGCAATGATAGTAAGAACCACATTTTTTTTCTTACTCTCTTTTTTTTTCAATTCAGTATAGAAAAGTTACAGACCAATCATACCGCAAACATGTCCCCGTCACAATCACACAAAAGTGTATCGTGAGGGACGTAGTGACACGATAACACCTAAGTATGTAAACCAACAGCAACACGACACATATCCCAGTGCAGCACAGACCAGCCTCTCTGCAACTTCATTTTCTTTTCCTGCACTAGAATAATTACTTCGCTAGAGTGTTGCAACGTCTCTAGTATTTTCTAGATGCACAGACACGGCTACCTCTGACTGTCGCACGTCCTCGTGCGGTTGACAATGAACAGCATACGGTCTATCAGTTATCACCACCTGCTAACAGATATTAACTCTTGTTAAATATTACAACGGTCGACTATCCCAGACTTCATTTAAGTCTGGAACGCGCCGATATGGCTACCTCCAGGCAAACGCACTACAGCTTTTCGTTTTGCTGCGTTCGTGCCACATTCGCGCCAGCAAGCCGTCCGCGCCGTACTAGCGCTAGCGAATCGTTGCACTGCTTTGCAAAATTAAAAGAAATCGAGATAAATGTATTGCAAACCATGGAATTCCGAGCATCCAAATTCATCACATATTCTCTTAAGAAACGGCAACTGTATGACATTTGAAAACATTGCAAAAAAAAATGGAAACTATGTGTAGAGACAAATACTACAACATATTTCAATGGGAAGGAGGCAACTGCGCAAAATCTATGAAAGCCGTACAAGCCTCAGACGTCCATTTACAGCGCCAAAGCACCATGTGTTCGGCGGCCGCTTGAATTGCCTTGTCGTAAGATCAGCCGATAAGTTACCGACTGTAGCGGTGTAGGCTCAATCATACCAGCGCTCTGCCGTACCTGACCTTGTTCGATTAGCCGTCACAGCATCTTCCTCATTGATCATTGTTGTAGAGACTTTTAAATCCTTCGACATCAAACCCCAATCTTGTCGACCACATAATATTTGGAGCAAACTGCAACACTGGTCAACAGATTAGAACACAAAAATGTCACTTATTATTTTTAATTCATAGCATGTTAAAGTTAATCCTTTATTTTGGTACATCCTTAAACGTTTTGAACTTCAAAGTATAGCAAATGATAATCATGTTTCGCGTGAACTATCAAATCACAGCAAAATTTGAACAAGTTAAGTTTTCATTGAATGCAAACTATAACTACTAGAAAGCCTCCAACATTTCTTTCGACATTTGTTAACATATTTAGGTACGTCAAGAAATAATGAAAATACTTGCGGGTACTTTTAATACAAATCGAAAAAGAAAGGATTTATCTTTTGGCTTAAATAATTTCACTTTATCTTTTCTCTACACTTTAATGATACGACAATATCGTAAGTAGGACAGCAAATTTCATAACGGTATTTAACATAAAAACAGATTCATCAATGCGGAATGCATTATAGTCTTTCACAAATATTATAATCCTCATACTATTCGAAGATTGTATGTGGGCAAAAATGGGGACTTTATCCCACTTCTGATGTAGGAAGTATAGTGGGTATAGTACAGAGACTGATTTTGTAGTTAGGAATAATAATTAATTGTTTTTCACGAATTAATTATCCAATGAGTCGAGGATAAACTAGTAACGGAATACGACAAGCAAACCGTTCCACGTCAGAGCCAAGACTGCCTTAACGGCGGCCGCTCAGTCCGTTTTATACAAGCAGGACGGGCGGCAACGCAGGTGCAATGCCGCAGGTGTGCGGTACACGTGTCGTTTACAAGAATTCTGTCTAGCTAGACCGACGCCACCGCATCTACAACGGTGCAGGTGCCGTCACATACATTTCTCAATTTTATATTTAATGATTGGAATAACTAGAAATTGTTATAATTGTAGGTAGCACTTATAATTGGAAGCATGTACTTATTATATATCTACTATTATGGCGATTGAGACTGTTACTCCTTAATACAGGTTATTCTGTAACCTAGCTTGGAGAGCAGAGCTACATCCATTAGATGAAGATCATATTTTATCCATCTTAGTACTCACGGGTGACAACGCATCTGCATTTTGATTCGTAATCGAAGATAGATGTAGATGTCTATAGGCCACAGCAACCACTTACCATCAGGTGGACTGTGTGCTCGTTTGTCACCCTGATCCTATAAAAAAAAGGCAAAATATGAGCACATTGGCAGAATTGGCGAGAAATTAGTTCGGCTTCCTTCGGGAACCCGTGCATTCTGGTCTCCAGCCAAGGCTGTTCAAGGGAATTTCTATAAGCCATCGCTACCATCTCTGTACAAGGAGGATGACTCACTCGCCCACGCCCCAAAAGAGAAAGCCAACCTTTCAGGCTCCCTTTTGTCGTCTAACTCAACTCTCGATGACGGGTGATGACTCCCCAGTGCCAGCTCCTTCCACTTGACCGCATCCAGCGCAGAGCGGCTCGAATCGTCGACGACCGAGTCTTTTCCGATCGGCTCGATTCACTGGCGCTGCGAAGAGATATTGTATCTCTTTGCGTATTTTATTGCATCTACCACGGGGAGTGCTCTGATAAATTGTTCGGATTAATTCCAGCCGCTCAATTTCACCATCGCACATCGCGACTAAGCTCGTGATATCATCCATACCATCTGGATGATTGGCGGTCCACCACTGTGCGATTTAGAAGATGTTTTCTTCCTCACACAACTTCCTTGTGGAATCGATTACCACCAGCGATTTTTCCGGACTGATACGACTTAGGGACCTTCAAGAAAAGAGCCTACTATTTTTTAAAAGGCTGACAATGATGGTAGTCACTTACCATCAGGTGAGCCACATGCACGTTTGCCCCCTTTCCTATAAAAAAAAACGCCAAGGTACGAAGATAGTTGGCTATATATCTATATATTCCCGGTAGTGCAACCCTAAGATATACATATATGATCATAACGAACCTTCACGTAAACCACCATTGCCCTAGATTATCCTGAGGTCACCCACGTAAACCAAGAGTTTGACGAGTGAAACTTTATGAGGCTATATGATTGTATGAATACTTTGAATGAGGCCTACAATAGCTACCAACTAAAAAATAAGTAAAAGTAGTAAGTAAGTAAGAAAGATCCTTCCTGCCTATCCCGCAAATGAAAAAGTAAAGCTATAATAATAATTTATAAGTCGTTTTCGTTAACAGTTTACAATAACATCACAAAGTTATAATGCAGCTTGTTTTAGGTCATTTTCTATGGAGTTGTAACGAAATTTTTACTAATACTAAGAGCATTTTATAAGTTGGTCAACTATTACTCGTTAACCTCTTAATTCTACTTAGCTACAAGTTTTTCTTTTAACATCATTATACATACAACTATTCTGTGTACTCTTCAAATTTCCGTATACAGCACTTTAGTTGGTAGAGGGGGGAGACACATGACTCTGATGAAAAATACCACTTTAAAGCTAAATATTTCGCAAACGTACCCCTGAATCGAAAAGATGTTGTTCCACACCCCTAGTGATTTTGAAAGGCCTATACAACGATACCCCACATGATGGAATAGACGGGTAAAAAAATCATCCTCCATTTACTTGTATGGGAAGTACCCAAAATAATTTCTTTTATAATTTTATTTCACAGTTTTCTAGGCTTGATTAATATCTATAACTATGTCAAATTACAGACTTGTAGCACTTAGGGTCTCTGAGTAAAACCGCGGACGGACGAACGGACGGACATGGCGAAACTATAAGGTTTCCTTGTTGCGTAACTACGGAACATTAAAAATGAGAAGTCATTTATTTCTATATTACAGACAGACACTTTAATAATTTTATGAACATATTTTATGTATATAGATTAATTATAATAGTATATAGTAATAGCATATTCCAAAGATTGTGTGTCTAAAGGTTTTGTATTATCATGTGTTACGCTTAGCAGGCGAATTAACAATCACGATATGAGACGCACATTTTACATTGCTGTCCGTCCTGGCTGTTTAGGTCTGGCGTAAACGAGATGATTACACCGCCATCTATCGGATCATCATCATCATCATCATTACAGCCCTTCACAAGTTCACTGCTAAACATAAGGCTCCCCAAAGAATGCCACAAAGCACGGCCCTGAGCCATCTATGACTTCCTGCATGTCTTACCAGGTCGTCAGTCCATCTAGCGTGCAGACGTCCTACACTTCATCTACCGCTACGAGGATTAGGCAGCCAGAAGATTTTTTTGACATTTCTCATAGTAGGCTCTTATTTTCACATAGTACCCACATTTTTCATTGTACCCTCGGGTTTATTTGCTGTTATGGATTCCCGCTTATGGATTCCCGATTAAGTTGCCACCATATCTATAATATCTACATTCTTTCTTAAATACTACAATGTCTTTTACTTGTGAGGGCGTTTATATGTATCGTTTATAAATAATTGTAGTATACCATATTATAATATATTAATTATAAGGAGTTCATTTCTTCAATAAAACAGTCTTGCAGATGCCGGCGACTGTGTTGTTACATTAATTTAATCGGCGCTGTGTTCAAAAGGACTCTGAATCGTCTTTGACAATAAAGGCTCGTTTAGTAAAAGATCAAATTAGCGGGACAGAGGAACCATGCAACTAACAGAAACGAAGATCGACTCAAATTCCTTTTGAAACAACGAACGCCGCTTCTCTAGCGGACACCGTCAGTATTGTATAAGGAAATGATAATAAAATGATCATTTCTGTTTGTTGTCAGGTTCCGAAGTCCCATTCGAGTGTCGCGGCGTGGAGCGCCAATCAAATGCCCACTAAGCAAGGCGTTAACCTTACTCGCCCTGAGAAGAAACGGTGTGACGAAAAGCTATACCCGCTAATATGGTTAGATTTTTTTCTCAATAATACAATAATCTGAAAATACTCATTAAGAAGACTTAAAAATGGCGGAAGGACCGCAAACGATATGGCAGAAGGTCGACAACTCCACTATACCCGTAATAAACCTCGAGGTGCGGGAGGTACGCGAGGTATTATGGGAGAAAATAAAGGAACCGACGTCACAAAGGAAAATTATTTTAGTAATCGTGTGCATTGCTCTACTGCTAGACAACATGTTATACATGGTGATTGTGCCGATCATACCGGACTACTTGCGGTACATCGGTGCTTGGGGCGAGGCTGGCACTGACCACGTTGTTACGCTAGCTCCGTACAAAGAAGGCAATATAACCATAACACCAACAATGATAATTCCTGCATCGCATGAAGGCCAAGATTCGGCAACTGGTATCTTATTTGCATCTAAAGCAATAGTCCAGCTTATGATAAATCCTTTTTCTGGTGCCTTAATTGACCGCATTGGATACGATATACCTATGATGATCGGACTTATTATTATGTTTCTTTCTACATCGATTTTTGCGTGTGGACGAAGCTACAGCATGTTGTTCTTCGCGAGGAGTCTTCAAGGCGTCGGATCTGCATTTGCTGATACAGCCGGTTTAGCTATGATTGCTGATAGATTCACCGAAGAGGCCGAGAGATCTAAGGCTCTTGGCATTGCTCTTGCATTTATTAGCTTCGGTTGTCTCGTGGCACCTCCTTTTGGCGGCGCTTTATACCAGTTCGCAGGAAAGGAAGTTCCGTTTTTAATCCTTGCGCTTATTTCGTTGATGGACGGTTTCATGTTACTGCTTGTAATGAAGCCATTAAAGACACAGATGAAGGAGGCAAACGAGCCAAAACCTAACGGCACACCGATCTGGAAGCTTCTTATGGATCCCTATATAGCCGTCTGTGCTGGAGCTCTGATGATGTCTAACGTAGCACTCGCGTTTTTGGAGCCAACTATTTCCCTTTGGATGGAAGACAACCTCACTAAGGAGAATTGGAAAATTGGTATGATATGGCTACCGGCGTTCTTCCCTCACGTTCTCGGAGTGATAATTACAGTTAAAATGGCAAGAAAATATCCTCAGCAGCAATGGTTGATGGCAGCGGGGGGACTTGCACTAGAAGGCTTGTGTTGTTTTATTATACCCTTTGCAAGTTCTTACAAGATGTTGATGATACCCATTTGCGGCATCTGTTTTGGTATAGCTTTAATAGACACCGCCCTGCTTCCCACTTTGGGTTACCTGGTTGATGTGAGGTACGTTTCTGTGTACGGAAGTATTTACGCTATCGCTGATATATCTTATTCATTCGCCTACGCAGTCGGCCCAATTATAGCTGGCGAAGTTGTCGAAGCGATTGGCTTCACAGCATTGAACCTTCTCATTGCCTTTAGCAACTTGCTCTACGCGCCTATGCTGATGTACCTCAGGCATATTTACGATTTCAAACCATTTGAGAATGAGGCCAACATCCTTATGTCAGATCCGCCGGAAAAGGAGTACCAGACCTACAGCATGCAAGACCAAAAACCTGTGAACGGAGAGTTTAAAAACCATTTAGAGTATTCTAATGTGGCTGGTCAGGCTGGCACCGTTCAGGAGTCGAATGTTGATATGAATGCGGGGGCAGATCAGTATCAGGGCAGCTATCAGAATTATAGTCAAGGTTATGATCAGCAACAGAATTTCCAGCGTCAAGAGGGTTACACACCAGCAAGGCAATTACCGGCCCAGCCGCAGCCACCACCCAGCAATCCCTTCCGGGCTGCAGCATCGCCAGCCCATCCCGCTCCGGCCGCCGCACCCACGCCTGCCCCCGCACCGGTCAAAAATCCTTTCCGACAAGGCTTCTAGAGCGTTCCAATTTGATAATGTTGTCTATATTTTTGAATTTACTTGTTGTGTAATTATAAATGTGTCATAGTTGATATTTACCAATATTTCGATCACTGAACCGCGCACACCGGCGGCGTATAGTTTAGTATCCGAATAGATATCTATTGAATAGCTGTGCTTTTAATGAAATGAATACCTAGTGTACACTGTACAACATTGCTTACAGGACTACGGTAAAAAGATAATTCAAATATATCAATACACTAACACTGTATAGTTTTCTATACAAAATAATCTTTTAGGGCGCTTTGAGTCGAATCACTCTCGGTCAGCGACGATAGCGCCTAGTTCAGCCTCTAAAGCTGGTATCGTCGCTTTTCCCAGCGGTTTAAAATTGTATACAGGATAATATGCCGCCTAAATAAGTCAGCTTGCTAGTTTGAATTGAGAGCGCAATTGAAGCTACTCATCCAGGGTGATACCTAGAAAAACATTGGTGTCAACATGAACCAAATCTTCCCCATTCATAATAATATTAGTATTGATACTGCTTTAGTTTCATTGGCATCCACGACGAAGAAGAAATCGAAATGTGTGTTGTAACAGATGTTTTCATATAGCTAACAACACAGCCAACTTTAATGAAACAATTTCAAAAAGAAGTGCATTCAAATACGGATTTTGGATCTTATTATATTTTCACAAGGCCGTACCGACGTCCTTGAGTAAATATCGTTCAATAATATAAAGTCGTATGTGGCGTGCTGTGTCGAAGACCGAGTGATATTCGTATATAGGCGCCCTTACGCAATAAATCAAGTTAAAAAAGCGCAGGAAGAACGTGGATTTGTGAGCAATGTTACACTTTCTTGTTGACCTTGTATTATTCGAATATAACTATATTATACTGTTGATAATGCCTTCTATTAGTTATAAAGATCTCATCTTCTACATTTCATAAAATAATGATAACTAATAATTATGGAAAGGAATATGTACACTATTATAATTTTCACGCTATGAGAAATTATTTACGCTAATTCATTACGTATTGTTAGTACTTAAAAATATCTTATAATTTTACTACTTACTATGTTTAACATTTAATAACTATTTTTAAGAATAAAATACCAAGCCACATATACCGAAGCACAAGTTTGGTATGACTAACAATGGGGCAACTTGCACAGATCTTTGCATGTTTGCAATGCAAGGCCTAATTAAATAAATAATTTAATTCAGCTCTTACTGACAGCTAACGTCTACTGTAAAATATCAAACATTTGCATACAGTATGAAATTATCGTCTATTATATTATAAATACGTATCCGTATTTTTGTATATATGTAAGACAGAATTTTAGATATTATATACACACATTTAAGTGTATTTCTGAATCTAAACAAATTGATGGTAATTCTGTCGTAACCCTAATCACAATCATCATTATATTATTAATATTTTTAGATATTAATGAAGAAATATTAAGTGTCTATGTTAAATAAAACCTTCCCAGCTATATCAGCAATATTAGGCTAAGCCATCGCTCTAATATCAATTCATATTTGACATATTCAATTAAAATATCAATTAGTGTATTAAGTTAGGTAACCAACTTGTGATAAAGTTGCAACCAAGGTAAACGAAACATATCAGAATCTTTTGATTCAACGTAGCTTAGGGAATAGAATTATATAGTATAAATTTATTTTTGTCTAAGTGTACAGTATACTTAGTGGATGTCCCGTTTAAAACGTATATTATGTCGAACTAAGCATACTAAATGTGTACTTGTACTTCATTTTTAGCTGTTATTTACCACCATTACGAATGATATTTGGGTCATTTTGAAGGATTAACTACTTCCAAACAAGAAAAAAAGGGTCGCTAATACCTAGTTTCATTTGCTTATAGTTTACCTTGTCAATCATCTTGTTTTACCGCTAAACGAGAAAAATGAATGGTGATGAAATGAAATAGCGAAAGAGACGTAAAACAAAAAAAAATAGTGAAATATATAGAACAAAGAAAATCCGTCACACACACTAGAGTAGTGTGACAGACTAAATGATCTAGTATGCTGCAGACGAATGGCATAACTCTCTCAGAAATGAGAAGAGACCTGTACCCAGCAGGTGAGAGATATCTCATATAGGCTGTAAGTTATGTACGTTAAAAAAGCAATCGTTGATTAAACAAAACAAAACTAGCCAATGAAACCTTTTTACTAAATTACACAAGCATCGATTTACATATGTAACGTTAACAAATCATCAGATACAAGAAAATATATATACAAAATGCAAGCTACATTTCGTATATTCTTTTGTATATTGTACAACTCTATAAATTGGAACACGAAAGAAAATGTAAAATTATTGAGATCAAACTAAACGAACGGAATATATTACAGAAACAGACATTTTGTTGAAGTTATTGGGCAAAGGTTACGTTATCAATTATAAGTAACTATTTGCGTAATTAATGCTATTTAACATATCGAAGGCGAACATAGATAAACTCTATCCAAAAAGAAATTTCTCATAATTATTAAAGTGTAAGACAGGAAGAAGTTATACTTAATAAAGGCAAGGTGAAAGGTAAAGAAAAAAAAACATAAGAACAAGGATAGCTAGATTTTCAATATCATTCGAAATCACTCTTAATAACCCTTCACTTGTGTATGTTAAGACTTCACAATGACCACAAAATAAGTAAATTTGCAGATGACTCGAAAAAAAAGAAATCTAAAATGATATCTAAAGTTAATTGTACAAGAAAATGTGACGAGCCCGACATGTCAATTGAATGAGTGTAAAAAGTTTAAAGTGATTATTGTGAATAATGTTTGTTCAATTTAAAATTCTATTAGCGAGAATGCTAAAGTTCATTCGCTCGTTTTTCCTTTCGCGAAGGTTTCATTAATTTGAGGACAATTAGCTTTATTTATTTTGTACAATTCGTAAGTTAATGAGATGTTAGACAGTTGCCTGCTAGAGTACAATAGCAATGGTAGAGTGAGAAGTTTCGAGCACAGGAATATTTTTTTCGCACAAAAATATACAGATAATCGTAGCTTTATTAATAAGGCAAAACAGGCCCTATGTATTTTGATGTCTTTGCCTACTTTTCGCCACGTCGCAGATTTATGAATTACGTTAGATTGATGATCAAAGGTCACTGTGAGCGGTTGTCAGTTAAGAGTCGAGCGTTCGCATAGCAGTGACCTTTGTCAAGTGTAAATTTAGAGTTAATTTTTGAGTCAAATTCTCCCGAAATTCAATTAATTAGTAGGATACTAACTGTGAGGTGACGCTTTTAATGTAATAAGCGTTATATCGTGAATTTTATTTTTTTAGAATTCTAATGAAAAACTGCAGTGGCAAAACTTTTTTCCTGCTTAGTAAGACCAATATTTTTCTAAAATATGTTCAAAACACAATGAACTGCAATGAATTAAATCTAAATATTTTAATTGTAAATTTTTAAAAAAAATAAGGTACACTTACGAATATCTGTAAAAGGATCGATCAATTCATAAATTATTGATTAGTACTCGCATCATTTATGTTCTGATAATTTTATTTTATTTTGTCGAATAAGTTTTCTTTTCAATTTTGTGTCGTAATACGAATTTTCTGTATATTCATAATATGTATGCATATTCGAACAGGTCATACATTATAATTTATAATAAAAAATTTAATTATAAATTATAATGTATGATTGTAAACAACCGTGATAAAAGGACAAAAACAGTGCCATAATATGACTACCTTTATCCGTATATCTTTACTGCGTCCACAGATAACAGAAAAGTGCCGTTTTTTTTTTCATTTATGCTACATTTAAATTGTTTCTAAATTTGAATTCTAAAATACACGATATGACGTTTAATTAATGTTTTCTCGTTAAGTTGTAGTGCCGCTGAGTTGGCAATACAACAGTATCTTTAAATAACTGTAAGTAGTCGCCAGCAATAATCGAGCCAATATCGCAAACATATCATTAGCTGTAAGGATATACCTATACAATTTTGTGCTAGTTTTGTATCTATTGCCACTTTTAATATACATATTAAGAATTTACATTTTATCGATAAATTATTCTAATAAAAGGCTTAAGCTGCATTCGGTACTTGAATGTTTTTTGAATTAAAATGTTTTAATATTAATAACTCCAATATTCAGCTACAAACAGAAAGACCTTATAAACTGTAACATTTTATTAACACCAAAATTAATCTTGCAATAGCTAAAACATTAATAAATTATCATTGAAATATAAAATAAAAAGGCCATTCTAATGGAACATATCTTTGAAGATACGCTTTGATAAGATTTGTATAAACGCACAAAAATATTTGAAATTAATTTTTATTTCAAACTTTAATTTCATTTAATTATTTACAACACTATTAGGTGCGGATCGTTTAAAAAAAGTTTTATCCTTCTTATTCTTTAATTCTAAGCCTATATATAGTCCTATATTATAACTTGGATGTACTGCATTTTTTATCTTTACAAATGTAACATATCACTTGCCTAATACCAAAACACATGTGACCGTACTACTGTAAGATAGCCTTGAAAATTTTTCCATTACCCTTTTTAAAGTATCTACATTTGATTTAGTTTAAATTGAATTACAGTCTACCATCCCGTTGTTTCGTTTTGTTCCACAAATGATATTAAGTACAGTACTCCACTAAACTTTCCTTCTATCGAATGATTATAACTTTTGAAGTAGACATTCACTTAGATTTGATGTAATCATTGTGTTTCCATGGTGATTTCGTTGCAAACATTTGTTTCCATGCTTTCTTTTTTTTTAAGTTTTAACAGTTTATATTCGATATAATATGTGTCTTTTAAATGTTTTTGATTAATTTGTTCATATTGATATGATGTATAGATTTTACATAATTCATCATCGTCATTACAGCCCTTCAACTAATGAACATAGGCCTCCCCCAAGGTATGCTACAATGCACGGTCCTGAACCACATCCATTTTAC